AATTCTTGCTTGAGGGGCTTTCTCTCGCGTGCGCTCCCTACCGTATCTGTGTTCTGGCGGCGGCGCGGAATTTCGCGGCACCCTAGGCCCGGCCCCGCGCTGGTGCGGGTTTGGTTGATCAGCGAGGTTCATGGCAAAGCTGTGCTGTATTGTACAGCGCTCTTGCCAGGCCTGACAGAAGATTTTTTACTTTGATAATCTCCCAGACAGACTGACATACGATTTTAAAAATTTTAGGTGAGTCTTTCACGGGTTTCTATCCCTTCCCCTCCCCGTTCCGTGTCTAGTAATTTCGCGTGCCTGAGGTACGGCGACGATATCGGTTGGTGGAGAAACGGGATCGTGGCGAATTGCGAATGGGGGACGAAATCGAGGGATGGGGGCGGAAAAGAATTGGGGGGCGGGCAAATCAAAATTGCAGGGGAGGTAGGGAAATCGGGGCCATCCAGGTGGCTATTCGTGAAGGGCCAATGGGTGCCCTCGCACACACAGCCCGCTGCAGTGGCAAGCACACCTCGGCAAATTTTTCCAAGGGCCAATCAGCCCCTCACACCGCACGCATCACAAACTGGGAGGTGATTTTGGTGAAGGGCCAGTCACCTCCCTCACACAGCCCCCAGTACACATCGGCCAGCGATTTTGGTGAAGGGCCAGTCAACTCCCTCACACAGCCCCCAATACGCATTGGCCGTTGATTTGGGTGAAGGGCCAATAACTGCCCTCACAAAGCCCCCCACAAGCATCTCGCCCTGATTTTGGCTAAGGGCCAATCAGCACCCCCCACAGGTAAATCACGCTCCCCCCCTAAACCTGGCATTACACAAATCAGAGTCGACCCCCCCATACAGAGTTGAGGCATCAGAGTACACTAGTAAAAAAAGTCTGAAAAATCAGCGTAGGTACATAAATCTTCTCTGAAAAATCAGAGTAAGGTACAAAAAAAAGTCTTCCCAATCAGAGTACACCAAAAACTCTGAAAAAGTCGAATCAGAGTAAAAGTCTGCCTGGATACAACTCCACATGAGTACCTAAAAAATTGTATGGTTTCAAAGAAATTTGCAGCATAAATAGCAGACGCGAGGGAGCATGACGTAATAGAATGGCTCCCACAAGCAAAAAAGCCAGGGATTCCAAATGGGTGGCAGGATACCATGCACAATGCAACCCGAAGACATCTACAAAACAATGTGGCTCCATACAGTGTGGGAGCCTGCTGCCAACCACCTATGGTAACACTGGCAGGGGACCAGCATTGAAAAAAATCAATGGGCTCTAAGCGAGGGATCACATGCATCACTTCCGCCAACTAAGAGACAGTGCGACCATAGCTGATCGACGAGATGTACAGGTTCTTTGCCCACTTTTCCTGCGTGATGGTAAAAGACGAGTACCAGTAACGGTAAGTAGGAAAAACACTAGGGCAGTAAACATCAGAACAGGAATACACGTGTGAAAGGTTACCTTGACATGTGTGCTTGGGAAGGCTGATGTTCGCAAAGTCTCCTGAGTCTCATCTGCAGGACGTCGTCTTGGGATGCTTAACAAAAAGGCAGCTTGATCCCAAGTTGCTGCAGTTGCTGTAATCCGGTAACCAGCATCCCACCGGCGATGGATCCCTTCACTAGGATACAAGAAGTCGAGCTCAACCACCTGACAGTTTAAACAGGGAACGCTTTTAGGTCGATGGGAAAAAATGCATTGCAAATCCAGCTATGCATTCAGATACATACCTGGTCAGTGAAGCCAGCATTTCGTGACATAACAACCCCCCATCTGCTGCCAGCAGTTGCCATGGATGTGACATAAAAGCCTTCCCTCCATTTCTTGTTTATCCACTTGAAAGGGAACGAGTCGCTCACTTTGTAAGACTGTTGTGTGTAGGAGGTTCCTGTCGAGAACAAAGCAGTGAAAGGAGTGAGCTACAACCTCTGAAGCAAGGTGAGCGATGAGAGAGATGTTTTAGATAACTTACCTTTAGACATGACTACCAAGGAGTTTCCATTGCTGGCCCCTGCAATTGAGGTAATGTAGTAATTCCGCTCCCATTGCTCCATGATCCACTCCTGTGGAGCATTAACGAACCATTAGCTTGCGCGTCGAAATGCAAAGGGACATAATAAGTGGGCACCTGACAATAGCATACCTTCGGGAGAAAGACATGAGAAAGTTCATAGACTTGGGATGTAAAGTTTGTGCCAGCATCCATGATGAGGGCCCACAAGTTCTGGCATGACGCCACACTACTGATGAACAGCCCGTCCTCATTCCCCTTCTCCACGTGTTGAGCTAGTCTCGCGTCAGCCACATTGTAGTGGTATCTGATCGAGGTTAACAAGTGGCGGGAGGGAGGGCGCAAAAGCAAGGAGAATTGGAGCAGGAGGCATAGGGGAAGGGGGGAAGAGAGGAGGAAAAGAAGGGTAGAGAGGGGGGGAGGAGAGTGGGGTGGAGGAGAGAGAGCGAGGGGGGTGGGCGGGTGGGAGAGAATCAAGTTGGGGTGAGGTACAAAGGAGGGAAGGAGGGACTGAGGAAACGCGTGAAGTGAGTGGAGACAAAGAATGTAAGTGAAAGCATACATTGGCGCGTTGTACCTTTGCTTCATTGGCCGACGAGCACTGTACACCGAAATCCACTGTGTGGCAGGCATTCCAAGTCGAACCTTCTTCTTTGGTTGGTCGTCTGCTTCCTCCTCCGCTGTCAAGCGTCCACGCTTCTGACCCACCTGCAAAACTAGAACACGCGTTCAGAAACCTCGCCTGGTAGAGCATTTTTAAAGCTCAAATTCACAGCTGCTGTCTACTATCACCTTCAAAGCGCCTTCTGTGTCAATGGGTCGATGTGCAGGGATGGGTCCCAAAACAGGGTCGAACATTGCAATGCACTTTCCATAGTTCGGCTCCTCATCGAACTTCAGGTTCACCACATACTCTAAAAAGAGCTTGAAAGGGACTGGACAAAAGCAGCACAGCATCTCAGGAGACGTGGCCATCTTCTTCTTGCAAACCAAGAAGCCCTTGTTGTCTCCCTGCTCAACCAAGAATAGTCGCCACATTAGCATCAAAGAAACGCACACAACCAGGGGAAAGCCTTGTCGTGAGGGATGCTCACCTGGTAGCCCTGCCATGGCAAGCGTCCTCTCAAAAGGAAGACCAGCGTGTAAGCCAGGGACTCTAAATCGTCTCTCCTGCTGCCTGTGCGTCCAAGATGCGCATGGACACTGGCGTATCGGACAGTTCCCCTGCGAAAAGGAGAAAAACTTCACATTGTCAACATTGCGCAACGTGACAGAAAGCAGCCTGCTGGTGCACGGCCATCATTAAGCACCTGAAGATGTCTGGACGTTGATCATACTCCACATGCTGACCAGAAGTTGCGTCCTTCCACCGTGTTGCTGAAATCGAGGAAAAACGCTACAATCAGTATACAAGTAACAGCGGAATAGTTTTCGGAATGAGAGCCCTTACTACTTACCAAGTCCGAGGTCAACAAGGTACAGCTTCTTCTCGTCAGGGGATCCTGGCTGGCCTAAAAGGAAATTTTCTGGCTTCACGTCTCCATGAACGTATCTGAAATAGCAGCGGAAGAGCGAAAATCTTAAACCTGACAAAGTTTTCGTAACGCGACAAACAAACCGGCTCGCGACTATCTTACCCTCGTGCGTGCAACTTCTCCAGAATGGAAAGAGCTTCCACGGCAATACACGCAACCATTTCCGTCGACATCCTGAAATAGTCAGGAATACGATGTTAGACGAGAGGAGAACGAATGAAGGTAAACACAGATGAAAGATCCTTACGCTTGATTAGAATTGTTCCAGACGTCCCACAAGCTCGGTCCGAGCATGTCCATGACCTGTAGACATCAGTTCACGACAATGTTAGGACAATGTTCGGATTTGAATTAAGGATGATGTTGAATGCATAGCTCATGCGCACCATAACATAATAGTCGCCTTGTCTGCCTTTGTAGTGAACCCTAGGAACTCCATGGCTCCCTCCCAGCGTGCTGTCATGACGGAGATTCGTTAGGTTAGGGATGCCGGGTTCGACATAAACCAAGATTGCAGAGAAACGACGTCGTCTTACTTGTAAACTTGCCACTCGTATGGTGGCCCATAGTTGCATCCCTTACTGCTTCTATGCTCGAATTTCAGTGCTACCTGCACCCCGTCGAACGATCGATTAGGCTTCCTCTTTAGACTCAGCGATCGAATCCTACGGAGCAATGAAGGAGCTTATCGACTCAATACCTCGACAGCATGAGGGCCAACTCGCTCAGTCCCTCCGTGAACTCTACGACCCACGTAGACTTGGCCAAAACCTCCCTTTCCCAGCTTCCGATCCATCTTGTACACTGGTGATCCGCCGACTTGAACCTGTTTACCAAAAAGAGGGGTACATTAATATCCGTGAATTGCGATACGTGGAAAATAGGCTAGACAAGTATGTACCCTTTCTGGAAGAGGTGCGATTCCACCATCATCTTCCGCGGGCTTCTCTCCCGTCTTCTTTTCACTTTCACCTTCCATCACAACAGCAAGCTATCACAGACTGCAGTGTCAGGAGCTTAACTCAGAGAGAAACGCCGAGTCTGCCTGTAATCTGCTAGGGTTACGAGTCCTGGTATCTGTGGAGTCAGCTTGTGTGGTGTGGTACGGTGCAAGCAACTCGCACTCATCAGTCACAGGGATAACAAGGAGGGATGATGGCATCATGCCATTCCCAAGTTGGAATCCATCCGTTCCACCAGTGAAGGTGAGAACGGGACAGGAAATAAGCGGGGAAATCAGGCCAATTTTGTCAGAATACGGTAACCTCGACGGAGCGCGTTTGATCATTCCCAAACCTAGCTTGGTTCGGAATAAATTGAAGTCGACGAGATGGCATAAGCCCACAACTTGGATAATGTACACAACACTGTACATTATCCTTCCTAATGAGAACCATCAGTGGAATTCCTCTTCTTGAAATCTCAATTCCACCACACGCATTGCTTCGCCTCACGTCCCACGGAAAGGCTTGGTTCCTTCATCCCTGCAGCACTCTGCAGGAGTCATCAGCAGCCTAGCCGAAAATTAGCAGCCATGGCCAGCAGAAGCTAATTTATTCATCTCGGTCTGCGGTTATTTTATTCAGCCAGCTAGCACGAACGCGTCTTCTTTTTTAGCGCTGCCCAGAAACAAAGTTTTCGACCTAGCCAATCTTCTCTGTTGGGCCAATCTCAACGACTTCGTTGTCGGCACACCAGTGCGTAGGTAGCTGTGCCATGGGAAAAGCTGTGGAAGTAGCGACGCAAGCACTGCATGGAATGTGCTTGTAGGGCGTCTTCCAAGCGGAGCTGTCTTTTTCGTCAGCATGGGTTGCTGTGTGTCCATTGACGAGGAGGTTGTACGACCGACTGCACCACGCAAGCCCGAGACTCCCAGAGGAGGTGAGAATAAGCATCGTAAAAGCCAGCTGAATATTTTCGCGCAGGCCTGTCTGTTTGCACCCTTCTCGCCACCGGGAGAGTTTGTGCATCCCGTCTGTGTGCGTTCTTATCGCCGGATTAGGTTATGCATCGTCTGCTCTAAAGCCACTTCACTCTTGTACCAAGTCTCACTGTTTTTATTTCTTTCCCGTATGCCTTCTTTTCAGCGGTCAACCGACAATCGACTGGTGATCATCCGGTCGGTTCCATAGACGACATTATACGCTCTAGTGGCCCAAACCAGCATCAGCGCGTTGCCTCGGGAGGAGGCAGCGGAACGTCCGTAGGAGAGAGCAGCAGATCGAACGGCTCAGCAGCGTCCCGGAGAGTCGGCACGAGCGTCGGTCATTCCGAGGGTCGCGTAGTAATCAGCGTAGGGCAATACGGCGGCAGCGGGACGACGGAACTGACCGTAGACGCATCGTTAAGAGAATTCTCGTTTCGGGAGCTGGAGACAGCCACGAAGCATTTTCGAGACGATGGAAAGCTTGGCGAGGGAGGATTTGGGAGCGTTTATCGAGGAACTATCGATGCGAATTCGCCTGGAGGAGGGCAGAAAGTCGCCGTTAAGATGCTGACGCTGGACGGAACACAGGGAGAACAGGAATGGATGGTAAGTTGCTTTTAAATGGGGGAAGAGGCGCAACGTGGGTTGGGGTGGGGAAGGATGGGGAAAGGATGGGGGAATGGATGGATGGTAAGCGAGAGGAGGCATTAGGCGACGCCTCTGATTGTTTTGCACGCGTTCGTATCTGACTGCTTTGACCGCGTTTGTCTTCAAGTGCCTGATCCGCATTTTCCATTTTGATTCCCGCATCATACCTTTCCAGGCAGAGGTACGGTACCTGGGAGAGCTTCGGCACCCGAACCTGGTGCAACTAGTAGGGTACTGTGCAGAGGACGTGCAGCGGCTGCTGGTGTACGAGTTCATGGAGTATGGCAGCCTCGAGAGATACCTCTTCTCTCGTAAGCGTTGCCCCTGCTTGCTGTTTCACCCAGTTGGAATTTCGTTGAGAATTGACCTGTTTCATGCTCAGTCCACATCTTGGAAACATTTCTCACTTTGAGTTAAATGTCCAGGCATGGCTAGCAATGTCTCCTTTGACTGACTCCGTCTGACTCCATTGACATGTGCAGGCACCCGAGATCCATTGCCATGGGACATCCGCATGAAGGTGGCGCTGCATGCTGCTCGGGGTTTGGCGTTCCTGCATGAGGAAGCGGAGCCGCAGGTCATCTACCGGGACTTCAAGACCTCCAACATCCTCGTTGACAGGGTGAGTTCGGGCCGATCAAATCATTTTTCGGTTTGACTCAAACCCCACAGTGTTGTTGCCAAGTGAGGTCTACTCTCAGTCGCAGCATTTTGCTTGACAGTGACTCTCCAGCACTTCCAAGATCCATGCCAACTAAATCGTCAAGCGGATGGCGTGCCGGCTCCAGCAACGCTGCTGTACCTGTCGCATAAATCGCATGAACGGAAAAGTGTCATGAGATATATGGGACAGCGCGGAAGGGAAGAGGTGTAGAAAGTGTAAGGAAAATACGTAAAGAGGATTGTTATGCGGGGTAATGTGGGGAAGTACAGTGATGGGTCGAAAAGCTCATGGGATTGAGCGGGCGAGACAGCTGGAGGTGGCGAATGGGAGACAGTGTCCAGCTCAGTGGGGACAGGAGCGGCTGGTTAGGTCGACATGCAGAAGAGTGAGGGAGGTAAGGGGCCGGATTCAGGGGGACAGCGAGGAGGCGTAATCATTAGTGCAGGTAAAAAGGCTAACCTCGAGGGAGTGAGGGACCTGGGTGACGGAGTGCCTTCGGCTAGGAGTAGCGTAAAGGAGCTTGTTCGTCGTATGTCAGCTACTCTGTTTGTTCTCTCGTAACATTGGGAAGGTTGTATGGCTCTTGCTAGTGAATACATTTTTCTGAGCTAAACCAGATCCATGAAGGGAGACCAAACTGAGGGGTAGCGAGCAAATCTTTGGCTGAGAGATTTCGCCTCGGGCTTTCATATACAAACAGAGTCTTATGGCGGGGATGTCCCTAAGAAGTGGCACCCGACTGCAAGGAGGAGACGATTCGCTGAGAGGGGAAGACAAGAACCTGTCAGTCGAAGGAGGTCAGGCTCCAGAGTCGCCATCGGCGGAGCGCGAGGAGACGCGCGAGGAGCCGAGCCCGGGGGAGGAGAAGCGAGCGCGGGAGCGTCGTGATTCCAGCGGTTTCGCGATGCGCGCGGATCGTCAAGCGGGGGGGGGGTTCTCCGCGACGGCGAGAGAGGCCTCGGCGGCCCGCGCACCCGGAGACGCAGGTCGAGGAGTCGGCGGACCGACAGCGCTGAGCAGATCCGAGGGAAGCGGCGAAGTGGGCGCGGGGAACGTCACCGGGGCCGTGCAGGGCACTGCCGGCGGGGTGTCGCATCGGTCGTTATGGGAGGAAGGAACCAGATATCGCTATACGAGCCTACCCAAGGTGGAGGTTCCCGCGCGCTTCACGGGGGACCAGCAGTCGGGCCCTCGCCTGAAAACGTACGCGATGCACGTGCGCAGCGAGAAGTTTTGTTGGGAGCAAGATGGCCTAGATCTCAGGCATTTCTTCCGGTCGTTGGGCAATACGCTGGCAGGGGATGCAGAGGCATTCTTTTTGGAAGTACGCGACCTACTACTGCAGGAGGAGGAGCGGGACGCCCTGGGAAGGGTCCGCCGAGATGCTGAGGGCCGGGCGCTAAGGTTGCAGGATCCGACAGAGAAGTTCCTGGAAGAGCTTCAGGTGCACTTCCCGACGCAAACCCCAGCAAAGCTACGAGAATTCGAGCAGCTGCGGAGGGCCCCCAGAGAATCGTTGCTCGCGTACTATCGCCGAGTGGATCAGCTAGCGGAAGACATCAGCTGCAACGAACCACGGATAGTGGTGGCGAAGTTCTTGGAAGGGCTGTCAGGGGATCTGGCCCGAACGGCAAGGGACCACACCTACAACCTGGGACCGAATGCGACGCTGAGGCAGGCGTATGAGATCGCATGGCGCAACGAGCAGTCGCTGAGCCTGTACGATCTTGGAAGGAGGTCGGAGCGTTCGGGGGGGCGTGAACGAGACCGCAGAGGAGTCAGCTGGAGTGGAGCTATGCTGGCTGGGAGTGAGGGAGAGGAGGAAAGGACGGAAAGTAGGGGATACAAGGGAAAACCGCAGCGATCCCGGACGGTGACCCCTCCCCTGAGCGAGGAACCGGTGTGTTATAAGTGCCGGGAGCCAGGGCATTTCAAAAGGGATTGCCCCAAGCTGCAGACCTGCTCATATTGTCAGAGAAGGGGGCATTCCGCTGAGAACTGCTACACGAAGCAGCGAGAGGAGCGGGGCAAGGGAGGTCGGAAAGGCCGTATTGAGGCCCTGGAGGAAGAACTGCGAAGGCTGAAGGCCGAGGAGGAAGAGAGCGACGAGGAGGATAGCTCAGCGAGGCTAGCCCGATCTCGGGAGGGAGATACCGAAGAGAAGGGGGAGCCGTTCTTTATGGCCTCGGGGGGGGCCGGGACAAAGAGGAGCTTGGTCTGCGCAGCGGAGGAGTCGACCGCCGACGTGAAGTGCAGCAGGGGAGGCGAGGGCCGAGGGCCCGAGTGAGTCCGACCCCAGGGCGGACGGGACCAGCAGAAGCTGAAGCCAGGGCCCCTGCAGGGGGCAGGCATGGCCCTCACCGTCATCCATTTGAGCGGATGGCGGCGAAGCCATGCGTGGTTGAGGCTATGGAGGGAGCAGTCGCTGTGGAAGGGAAATACCCCGGGACTACGATAATCGATACAGGGGCTTCACAAGTGCTGGTGGGAAGGCGCCTGGCCGAAAGGCTGGGGTTGCACCGAGAGGAGAATGTGACGCCTGAAGGGGTCAGAATCCAGACAGCAGAGGGAGGAGCAGGGAAATGGCTGCCCAGGACACTGAGGCCTCAGGAGGTGGTGCTGGCCCCAGGAGCAGAGGATGAGACGAGGATTCGTGTGCATTGCCTGGTCTCAGACTCAGACGACTATGACCTGTTGTTGGGAATGGAGCTGCTCTACAAAATAGGAGCAGTGGTCGACACTTGGACCGAGAAGGTTACTTACCAGCCTCGCTACTGGGACCACGAGCTGAGTCATGAAGAGAGCTTGGCAGTGGCTCTGCCGGCACGCTTCCTAAGGAGTCCGCCCGGATATCGAGGGCCCCCAATGGAGAAGGTGCCAGAGCAGAGATTCGAGGACGCAGGAGTGTATCTGGAGCGAGCAAGCGAGAGGAGAAAGAGGGAGGAAGCGGCGGGGCCACGACTGGCAGAGTACCGGGAAGCAAAGGGGCTCACCGAGCCCACATACGACTTCGAAACCTTCAACCGACCCATAGCCCTGCTAGAGTTGTTCGGGGGAGTTGGACCAGGATTGGCGGCGTGCGTACGTACGGGGCTCACCATTGCACGATGGATACATGTGGAGAAGAAGGAAGAGGTGCGCTGCATGGCATTTCATCATGCAAGGCTCCTTAGTCGGGAATTTCCGGAGAGGCTGCCCGTGGAAGTGGTCGAGAGGGCTGAGAGGGAGGCAAGTGCGATGAATGATATCGGCGCTGTTACTCAGGAGACGGTGGAGAGCTGGGGGCAGATTGACCTGCTAGTGGCCGGATGGGAATGTCAGGGGCTGTCCAGGGCGGGCAAGGGCAGGGGGCTATCGGACCCGCGCACCGGCCTCCTCCGGGATCTTATCCGAGTGATGAAGCTGATAAAGAGGAAACAAGGACCGCTATCCTACATAGTGGAGAATCTGGATGTGGCGGACGATGAGCGTGCATTGGTGAGAGAGGCTCATCAAGCTGTGACGGCAGAGTTGGGACACGGGGTAGCCTGGGATGCAGCACAAATGGGGTCCCGGACTCACAGAGTGAGACGCTACTGGCAGAACTTGGTCCCGGAGCCAGTGCTCAGAGATCAACTGAGTAGGATGCAGCGGCCCGTGCCGCGGCAGGTCCAGGATATTCTAGAGCCGGGCAGGAGGCCGGCACCGGTAACGACCCCAGAGGTCAAGACACAGTTTCCCTGCAACCAAGTGGGAGAGCCGAGGCAAGCCTGGCCGACTTTGGTGGCAACACCTGGCAGTTACGCCTTTCGCATGCAAGGCAGTGAGCCGGGACCCGGGATGGTGCAAGTACTCGCTACGGGGCAATGGGAGGAGCCTATGGCGGTGGAAAGGGAGAGGGCGCTAGGGTACATGAGAAACGCGACGGCGGCGGAGGGGATTTCAGAAGAAGCGAGGAGGGCAGCGCTAGGGGGAGCCATCGACCAGCACGCGCTAGTCTGGTTGCTGTACCGGGCGGAGAAACGGCAGGAGGTGATGAGAATGCAGCTGCTAATGCACTGGCGGTGGAAGGACCTGCAAACGATGCTGGAGAGCGACCCAGCGCAGGCGCTCGACATGGCAGAGGCCTGGCAACGCATGAAGGCGGAGGCTTGGGCCGAGGTAGAGCGAGGAGAGAACCAGCTGAATATTCGGGGGATAGCGCTCCTGGCCAAAGCTATGCAAGAAGCAGAAGCCGTGGAGGAGATAAAGGAAGAAGGGGAAAGCAAGCCAGTAGAAGAAGAAAAGGGGCCACCGCAAGTCGACAGTCCACCGGCCTGGGAGATGGGAGACGGGCTAGAGGAGGAGCAGAAGGGAGAGTTGCGGCGTGTACTGGAAGGGGCAAGGGGAGCCTTCGCTTACTCTCTGAAGGAGTTAGGCAAGTGCACCATAGCTGAGATGGAGATAGAGCTGCAAAGCAACGAACCAGTGTATCAGCGGAGAAGACGTATGAGTCCAGGGGACAGAGACATTGCTGTTGCAAAATGCGCAGAGCTGTTGGAGGCGGGGTTGATCAGGGAGTCCACATCAGAATATGCAGCAGCGACAGTGGTAGCCGCAAGGAAGGATCTAACCGGTGAAACGTTAGCCCGACGAATGTGTGGGGATTACCGAGGTCTTAACCGGATCACCAAGAGCGACCGGTACCCAATGCCCATGGCCGAGGAGATCTTCGACAAGCTGGCTGCAGGACAGGTCTACTCAACCTTGGACCTCCGTCAAGGATTCAATCAGATAATATGAAAGCCCGAGGCGAAATCTCTCAGCCAAAGATTTGCTCGCTACCCCTCAGTTTGGTCTCCCTTCATGGATCTGGTTTAGCTCAGAAAAATGTATTCACTAGCAAGAGCCATACAACCTTCCCAATGTTACGAGAGAACAAACAGAGTAGCTGACATACGACGAACAAGCTCCTTTACGCTACTCCTAGCCGAAGGCACTCCGTCACCCAGGTCCCTCACTCCCTCGAGGTTAGCCTTTTTACCTGCACTAATGATTACGCCTCCTCGCTGTCCCCCTGAATCCGGCCCCTTACCTCCCTCACTCTTCTGCATGTCGACCTAACCAGCCGCTCCTGTCCCCACTGAGCTGGACACTGTCTCCCATTCGCCACCTCCAGCTGTCTCGCCCGCTCAATCCCATGAGCTTTTCGACCCATCACTGTACTTCCCCACATTACCCCGCATAACAATCCTCTTTACGTATTTTCCTTACACTTTCTACACCTCTTCCCTTCCGCGCTGTCCCATATATCTCATGACACTTTTCCGTTCATGCGATTTATGCGACAGCTGTCGCACACAGCTCTCTCTTCGGGTATCCTGCCACCCAACTAGCCGGGCTCTCCTGGTGGCTGCCTCCGCTTGTATGTTATGAGGCTCTTTGCCCCACTCTCCTGCCCCCTCGCGGCCCGACCCACGTCCTCGTGATCAGGCCGTGACCTCCCAGCGCGCGCCACATTAGACACGTGGTCCCGAACCAGCTGCCCCTGCATATTCTGCAGCAATAGGACCCCTGACTCCCTTGTCTCACGTACGATCCACCGCTCCTTACTCAAACCTCTGTCTAGCGTGTCCTTGTTCCGCTCTCTCAGGTACACCTCGTCGCCAATCTGTAGTGCCAACGCCTGACCCCCATTGCCCTCCCCTTGCTTGCGCTGCCTGTACCTCCTTGCGTCTCGCAACTGTGCCACCTCCAAATTATCTAAGGCTGCCGGCATGGCAGTGCGGAGATAACTAGCCCTGGCTGCTGCGATCACGGCCCAAGTCCGCGGGTCCGCAATCGACACCGCTTCCTTCATGATACGAGGAGCATCCACGGGCAGCACGGGCTCCTTCCCATAGAGCAGGAAGTACGGGGAGTAATCCTTCAGCGCTTGCTGCTTACTAAAGCGATATCCCGCCGCTAACCAAGGGAGATGAGTGTCCCACTCCCGCCTATCCTCTTCTTCGCAGTACTTGCGCAGCCCCTGCTTTAACGTCTGGATCATCCGCTCCGTCAAACCGTCTGCTTGCGGATGATACCGCGACGTCCGTCGATGCCTGATACCCACCTCACTTAACATGGTGTCGAACTCACCCGCAAACTCATTCCCCTGGTCGGTAAGCACTTCCCCACACGCTCCAAATCGCGTCAGCACCTGCTGGACAAAAGCCTCCGACACTCCCGCCGCGCTCTTGCGCGGGAGGGCCGCGACTTCAATCCACTTGCTAGTGTGCTCTATCATCACTAGGATATACTGCCGCCCTCTCCTGGATAGTGGTAGTTCTCCTGCCATATCCAGGGACCAGCGGTACCCGATCTGTCCAATGGGCAGAGACTGCAATTCTGCCTTCGACTGCTCCAGCCGTGCCTTGCCTCGGCTGCATGCCTCGCATACCCCTACCACCCCTTTCACTTCCTTTCGCATCCCATCCCACCAGTACATCGTCTGTAGCAACTGAGTCGTCCGCTCGGCTCCATAGTGCCCCAGCTTAGTGTGCACCTTCAGGATCAGCCCCTCTCGCTCCTCCGGCTTGGGGACTATTCTCCAGCCATCCCCCGTCACTAACTGCAGTTGTTCATCCTGCCAACGGTAGTGAATCCCCCGGGCCCTCACCCTCTCTGGCACCTCTCCACCCTCGGGTCCCTTACCTTGAACCCACTGCAGCACCGCAGCATCGTCCCAAATCTCCCGACAGCCTTTCGCCGCCTCGGACCTCCGAGTCCACCCCTCCTTCTCGGCGGACACCGCCATGAAGGAAAGCACAGTCTCCGCTCCCACCTTTGGTTCCCCAGCTATTGCTGGCCCCTGCCTGGAGAGCCCGTCCACATGCTGCAGGGTTTTCCCGGGCCGATGCTTCACGTCAAACTCGAATTCCTGCAGCCGCATGGCCCACCTGGCATTCCGCCCTTTCAGAGTCTGATTAGTCATCAGCCACAGGAGAGGTTGATGATCGGTGACTAGGGTAAATTTCCTGCCTTGCAAGTAAGGCCGGAAGAGTTCCACCGCCCAGACTGCGGCTAACCCTTCCCCCTCATAGGAACTGTAGTTGCTTTCGGCTGGGCTGCATGACCGACTGGCATATGCTACTACCCTCTCCGTCCCCCCATCCAGCTGGCACAGTACTGCCCCCATGCCACTGCTGCTCCAGTCAGTATACAACGTGTAGGGCTTATCCGGGCTGGGCAGTTTCAGGACAGGCGCGGTCTTCACTGCTTCCTTCAAGGTCTTCCACGCCAGATCCTGTTCTGCCTCCCACTTCCAGGTCATGTCCTCTCTCAGGAGCAGATTCAAGGGCCTTGCCGTCTTGCTGAAGTTCGGCACGAACTTGCGGTAGTAGCTCAGAAAGCCCAGCTGAGCGCGGAGGGTGCTCCGATCTGTTGGCGCTTTGAGTCTATCGACCACCTCCACTTTGGCCTGCTGCACCGAGAGGCCTCCTTTCCCCACCTGAAACCCCAGGTACGCCACTGTCCTCACCCCGAAATGACACTTTCCTGGATGGCACTTCAGTCCGGCCGCTTGTATTGCTGCTAGGGCGTCGGCTACATCTGCCACGTGCTGCAACCCGTTTTCGCTGAAGATTACCACGTCGTCTATGTAACAGAGTGCACGCGGTACCTCCCTCAGCACTTGATCCATCACTCGCTGGAACCTCGCTGAAGCGTTCTTCAACCCGAATGGCATATAATTCCATTCGTACAGTCTGTCTGGCCCATGAAACGCCGTCTTAGCCTTATCCTCCTCCTTGATTGGTATCTGATTGAATCCTTGACGGAGGTCCAAGGTTGAGTAGACCTGTCCTGCAGCCAGCTTGTCGAAGATCTCCTCGGCCATGGGCATTGGGTACCGGTCGCTCTTGGTGATCCGGTTAAGACCTCGGTAATCCCCACACATTCGTCGGGCTAACGTTTCACCGGTTAGATCCTTCCTTGCGGCTACCACTGTCGCTGCTGCATATTCTGATGTGGACTCCCTGATCAACCCCGCCTCCAACAGCTCTGCGTGGAGAGTGGGGCAAAGAGCCTCATAACATACAAGCGGAGGCAGCCACCAGGAGAGCCCGGCTAGTTGGGTGGCAGGATACCCGAAGAGAGAGCTGTGTGCGACATACCCCTGCCCATATGTTCTCTCTCTACCCCCCTTCACTCTCTGTCCCTTTCCCCTGCCTCCCGCTCATCATCGCTCCCTTTCCCTCTCCCCCGCAGGAGTTCAACGCCAAGTTGTCTGACTTTGGTTTGGCAAGAGATGGGCCGCAGGGAGGCAACACTCATGTGTCCACAAGAGTCATGGGCACCTTTGGCTATGCCGCTCCTGAATACGTGCTCACTGGTACGTGCTTGCTGCCTCCTTGATTGGAATGGTCAGTCGCGCATCGTACTTCCATGACCATCTGTTGCTTTCAAGCCTTAATACCAGGCTAAGTTCACCAGTACCTTGCCGCTTCTAAAATGAATGCTTTTCTCACCATATATATGTAACCCCATCACCTCCCATCCCCCAGGCCACCTGACAGCCAAGTCGGACATCTACAGCTTCGGCGTGGTGCTCCTGGAGATCATCGCCGGCCGCCGCGCCATGGAGGTGCAGCTCCCCAAAGCAGAACAGAACATCATCGACTGGGCGCGACCCTTTTTCCGCGACCGCTCACAGCTGCCCCGCCTCCTGGACAAGCGCATCGTGGCTGCCGCTCAGGCCAAGCAGCAGGCCATGCCGCTGGCTAAGGCGGTGGCCAAGGCGGCGGTGATCGCGCAGTGCTGCGTGAAGGTGGAACCGAAAGAGAGGCCGGCCATGTCCGATGTTGTAAAGTCGCTGGACGCGGTTCTGAACATGTCTGTGCCTGCTGCTGCTGCTTCTGGAGGGCCGTAGGTTGGACGCAACCAGATTTTAGAAAGCACAGGGATTAGCTGCTGAAGATAAGTTTATTGTAATGGCTAATGCTGGTGGTTGGTTGTGGTTGAAGAGGTTGTTGGAGAAGTTATGAAGACTTAGGAATTGAAGAGTTACCACAGGTGCAACTGTGAGGAGCAGCTTGATGCTGATTTGGATGACTAGCGAGTGTGGTGGATAGTGTGGTCCGGTAGTGTGATCCAATTGTGGGTCGCGTGTGCCATGCTCTTTGTGAATCAACATGCATGCGAAATTACTGAACGTTTGCATTTGCCTAGCCTTAAAAGTACAATAAGCATGTCTTTTTGTAATCACTACATGAGTAAGCAAAATAGTCAACAAAGCATAGGCATGTGTTCCAACAGTCTATAAATGAGTCAACAGTTGCATAGGCATGCATTCTACCATTACACAACTCTGTAACAGTCAACATAGTTTAATATCTTTGGACGCCTCTTGTCCACTAGAGGGGATTACCCCTAGTGTTACACCTGGGCACCACGCTGAGGTGGGCGTCCATCGCCCAGGACCTACTCCTACTCCTAGCTATCAGAGGGGGTGGTGGCCAGAGGAGGGGGAGGTGGCCAGGGGAGAGGGGAGAGGTGGCCAGGGGAGAGGGGGGAGGCGGCCAGGGGAGAGGGGGGGGGGTGGCCAGAGGGGGGAGGTGGCCAGGGGAGAGGGGAGAGGTGGCCAGGGGAGAGGGGAGAGGTGGCCAGGGGAGAGGGTGGAGGCGGCCAGGGGAGAGGGGGGAGGTGGCCAGAGGAGAGAGGGGAGGTGGCCAGATGAGAGGGGGTGGTGGCCAGAGGAGAGGGGGGAGGTGGCCAGGGGAGAGGGGGGAGGTGGCCAGAGGAGAGGGGGGAGGTGGCCAGGGGAGGGGTGGTGGCCAGAGGAGAGGTGAGAGGCAGCCAGGAGAAAAGGGGGAGGTGTCCAGAGAAGAGGGGGGGTTGGCTAGGGGAGAGGAGGGGGTGGCCAGAGGAGAGGGGGGTTGGCCAGAGGAGAGGGGGGGGCTGACCAGAGAGGAGGAGGGGGGTGGGTGGCCAGAGAAGAGGGTAAGTTAGATGAAAAAAAAAGGCAGGCCAGAGGAAACGGGGAGTTAACTAAGTAGAAGAAGGTGGTTGGCCAGAGGAGATGGGGAGGTAATAAAAAAATAGAAGCGGTAGTTGGCCAGAGGAGAGAGCACTGCAACAGGTTGCCGTATTAAGGGGTGTCGAAGGGCGGGACGAGGTGGAGCAACAGGATGCCCGGGGGGGCGTGGACAAGGGGGGGGTGTGGCCAGGCGCTGCAACAGGATGCCCAGGGGAAGGGGGAAGAGGGACCAGGGCAGGGGGGAAGGCTAACCAAGGGGGGGGTGTGGCCAGGCGAGGCTGCAACAGGCGTTGCCAGGGGACGGGGTTGGGCCAGGGAACGCCAGCTGCAACAGGTGAAGGCTGCAACAGACGTTGCAATAGGCGAAGGGAGTTGGCCAGAGGAGAGAAGGGGTGGCCAGGTGAGAAAAGAGAGTCGGCCAGAGGAGAGAATGGGTGGCCAGAGAAAAGGGGATTGGCCAGATGAGAAAAGGGAGTTGGCCAGAGGAGAGGGGGAGTTGGGCTGCAACAGGCGAAGGCTGGCTGCAACAGACGGGGTTGACTGCAACCGGAGAGGTTGACTGCAACAGGAGGGGTTGACTGCAACAGGAGCGGGCGTTGACTGCAACAGGAAGAGGCGTTGACTGCGACAGGAGGAGGCGTTGACTGCAACAAGAGGAGGCGTTGGCTGCAACACGTTGGTTGCAACAGCAGGAAGGGGGCGTTGGCTGCAACAGTAGGAAGGAGGCGTTGACTGCAACAGTAGGAAGGAGGTGTTGGGTGCAACCGGAGGCGGCGTTGTACCTGGATGGGAGGGGCGGAAGGGAGGAAGGGGTACTACCATACCAGGCGCCATACCTTATCACAAGGAAATGAATGCACGAAAGAGAACGAAAGGCAGCGTGAGAGAGGGTTCAGTGATTACCAGTCCGGCCTTTAACAGGAGGGGTTGGCCGCAACAGAAGGAGTTGGCTGCAGCAGTAGGCAGTGTTTTACCTGATGGGAGGCGGGTGAGGGATGGGGGGGCACTACAATACCAAGCGCCATACCTGATCTCAAACAAAAAAGCTTCAAGCGACAAAGGAAATGGATCATGGACATAACGAGAACGAAGGGCAGCGTGAGAGAGGGTTCAGTGATTACTAGTCAGGTCTTCAAGAAGAGGCGTTGGCTGCAACAGGAGGGGTTGGCCGCAACAGGAGGAGTTGGCTGCAGCAGAAGGCGGTGTTTTACCTGATGGGAGGCGGGTGAGGGATGGGGGGGCACTGCAATACCAAGCGCCATACCTGATCTCAAACAAAAAAGCTTCAAGCGACAAAGGAAATGGATCATGGACATAACGAGAACGAAGGGCAGCGTGAGAGAGGGTTCAGTGATTACTAGTCAGGTCTTCAAGAAGAGGCGTTGGCTGCAACAGGAGGGGTTGGCCGCAACAGGAGGAGTTGGCTGCAGCAGAAGGCGGTGTTTTACCTGATGGGAGGCGGGTGAGGGATGGGGGGGCACTACAATACCAAGCGCCATACCTGATCTCAAACAAAAACACTTCAAGCGACAAAGGAAATGGATCATGGACATAACGAAAACGAAGGGCAGCGTGAGAGAGGGTTCAGTGATTACCAGTCCGGTCTTCAAGGCCTTGCACGGACTTGCTGCCACGAGTCCTTGTTGTAGCTCTACCTGAGGGGGGTGGGGTGGGGGTGAGGGGAGGAGAGTAGCGGGGCCGAGGGAAGGGGCAAAGGGGACGTCCAGACCTCCCGTCCATAGGCTCCCGTCCATGTTTCCCGTCCATGGGCTCCCTCCCGTCCATGGGCTCCCGTCCAGATCAGATCTGAAGGGGGGGGGGGAAGGGAGGAGAGGAGGACGAGAGGGAGGGAGAGTCGAGCCACCTTCCATGTCGTCTTCCATGTTGCCTCCCTCGTGTGCTGCACTGCAGCCACCACTTCTCACCACCACCACCACCACACCACCACCGCCACCATCACCACCACCATCACCACCACCACCACCTCCACCACCACCGCCACCACCACCCAATGCGCCATCCCTGCGCACACGAGGCCAGGTGGCGTCCCACCTGACCTCAGGACCTCAGGTGGCGTCCCACCTGAAGCCCTGTGGACCTCGGGTGGCGTCCCAACCACAAGGTCCACTGCCCTCCCAGCCACACACCCCAAGGAGGTGTGGGCCGATCGACAGGCGGAAGAGTAACCGTTGCTGCACGTGTCCTGGAGCCGCTGCTGACGGGGTGCACTGCTGCTGAAGGGGTGCGCCGCTGCTGGCGTCATGATCCAGCGCGTGCATGGTCAGCAGGGCATGCAGGAAAACTGCACGCCGTGCGTCGTCCCACTCCCACGGAGAGGCTTCAAAATGGGGTCGAATCTCTTGGCAAAATATGAACATATACTGACCTGCAGGAGGCAAAACAAGGGCGTGAGTTTCACGGGGAGAAAAAAACGGAAGAATGGTACTCAACTTACCATGGATCAGTTGGATGGCGTGGAAAATAGAAGTACGAAACGTTAAAATGAAATCGAATCTCTTCCAGCATATTTCGTGTATAAACCTGCAGGCTAGAAACAAGAGCGTAGTAAGTGTCATGGCTAGAAAAATGCGGAATGACGGCACTCAAACTTACCACGGGACCGAGTGGCGTGGCGGATGGAGTGATGAAGGCTGCAGGTTCTCAACCGGGGACATACCATGCTGGCAGTCAACTTACTCTGGAGGTAACATACCTAGTCTGTCTGTTACATAGGGAGGGTCCCACGGCGAGAACACTGGGCCAGAGGAGGAGGAAAGATTGGTAAGCGGAGGAGGAAGCGGATGGGTGTCGAAGGCGGGTGCGAGGTGCTGCTCCCCCCCACACGCAGTGGTCAGCAGGGCATGCAGGAGAAGTGCACGCCGTGCGTCATCCCATCCAATCCATTAACATATTGACCTGCAGGAGGCAACAAAAGGGCGCAAGTTTCATGGCAGGAAAAGACGGAAAAAAGCATGTACAAGCAAATCTTCCAGAAATAACAAATTTGGCAAGAAAGGAGGGTATAAGAAGGGTAGGAGTAGAATCGTAGTAGTAGAATATAACAGTAGCACACACCACTGCGGAGCTAAGCTTAGCAAGGGGGACTAGGTAAGAAAGAGACGCAGACTGCTTATTCTAACCCGACGCGGACAAGCGTCGCTACCGCAGGGGCATGTACTACCGTCAGCATAACGGGAAGGAGGAGGTGTATAGTGGAACGAGAAAGGTATGAAAGCGATAAAAGTATGGAAGTGGTATAAGTGGTATAAGGTTATACTACAAGGGTTAAGGAACTTCCCGAATTGCAAGCCGGTGAAGTCGAGACGCAGCGAGCTGACCGTCAGAAGGGTGCGGCAGCAGGGTCAGACCGAGGTGAAGCTGGAACCGTGTCACCTGCACCGAGCCACGAAATTCCTGTTAGCAACTGGTAACTTCAGGAGATTTTATTAAGAAACTAGCAGAAAAAACTTTGACTTACCAGCAGCAGCACGAATACTTGAAGGAGCTATGACTTGAGGAGTGCAGCCGCAGTTGACAGGCCTTCAGCAGCAGGGTCAACGCCGAAGGTGATGCAGGAACCGTGTCACCTGCAATGAGCCACGAAATGCAATCAATAACAGGAGATTTCAAGGAATCTGATGCTAGAAGCAGGAACTTTGGCTTGTCAGATGGGTCAACGACTGGGCAGCACGGCAAGGGTGAAGCAAGAACTGTCACACCTGCAATAAGCCACGGAAAGTCGGTCAGCAGCTATAAATCTCAAACGAATTTATAAGAAATGTAGCGCAGAAGAAGGAGACTTGACTTACCAGCATCAGCAGGAATATGATTAGGGACTGTGATCAGATTCTGCAACGAAGTAGCCATATGTCGCCGAGAAGAAGCTCAGATCACGGAGGCTCGGATCAGACCGGGGAGAAGATGCTCAGATCTGCGAAGAAAGCGGTCTACATCTAAAAGATCTGTCATTTGTCAGATGGGTCAATGACTGGGCAGCACGGCGAGGGTGAAGCAGGAACTGTCATACCTGCACGAAGCCACGGAAAATTGGTCAGCGACTAAAAATCTAAAAAGTTTCTATAAGAAATGGGACGCGAAAGGAGGAAATTTGACTTACCAGCAACAGCAGGAATATTATAAGGGCTGTGATCGGATTATGCAGCAAAGTAGCCTTATTTCGCGAAAAAGATGCTCAAATCCGCGGAGGCTTGGATCAGACCGCGGAGATCCGCGGAAGCTCAGATCGGACCGGCGAGAAGATGCTCAGATCCGCGGAAAAAGCGGTTTAAATCCGTGGCGAATTCGCACAAATCGGCAATGGAAACCTGTAAAACAACAACAGTTGAATGTTTAGATTCGAGCTGAACGGAACGGAAAGAACGGAACGAACTGAAACCCAAGTCACTCACCTTTAGTGTTCTTCCAGACGCAGTTCCGCGACTCGCCGCCGAATCTTCAAGATCGGATAGGCTTAGCTCGGAGGCTTGATGACGTGTCCGATGGCGTGTTCACCCGAGTTGGATAACGTGTTGGATGGCATGTCAAACAGCTTGTCGGATGGCGGAATCTTCAAGCTCGGATAAGCTCACCATGGCGGAATCTGCAGGAGTCGAAAGAAGGACGTAAGTGTCACGGCAAAAGAAAAGCGGAAGACGGACTGGCAGAAAAGTCGGAACTCACTATGGCAGAATCCTCAAGCTCGGATAGGCTCGAATCGGCTCGGATAGGCTTTGATGGCGTGTCCGATGGCGTGTTCACCCGAGTTGGACAGCGTGTCGGATGGCGTTCGGTGTCGGATGGTGTGTCGGATGGTGTGTTGGAAGCCACGGGTTCTCACCGAGGGACATACCATACCTGCAGTCCACTTACATCTTGGCAGTTAATCAGTCTGTAACCTGGGGAGGGTCCCAAGGTGAGAACACTGGACTAGAGGAGGAGGAATGACTGGTTAGAGGAGGAGGAAACGGGTGGGTGTAGTGGGAGGCGAGTCTAATCGAAGCGTCCAGGAAACGGCGACCGGCTTCAAAAGAACTGGAAGAAGTTTGAGTGATGACGAGACGACGAGATGTCTTTAAGTAAACAGGAGTCGGCGATTTACCGAGGACTGCTTCCGGAAAATGAGAAATGGTTCAGCAAAATGAAAAGCCGTCGTCCCTGGTTATTTGACCTCATCAAGCTAAGTGACCACACTGTGCTGCTGCTTGTTTCTGGAGCACATGTGAAAAGCCAAACAATGGTGTCATATTGCTAGGTTCTTTCAAGTCACTTGTGAAATTCGCCGCCAAACCATGGTGTGTCAGTGGGGGAGGCCGACCTCATCGCGCGGAATTCCAGTGGCCCAATCGCACCGCGGAGATGTCCCGCGCGGCAGCTTTTGCGGTAACTGTGCGAACCTGATTTGACGGACCATTGGTGTGGCGAACGATTGAACAAGAATCTCGTTGATTTGCGAGTTCTTGCGACCGTCGTTAGCGATCGCCCGCTTTGCGCCGTTCTGAATTTTTGCGCGGGGGCCAATCAGGAAACTTCACTGCTGGGAGACCACCAACAAGGTGATGGCGGAAACTTGCGGTTGTCCGGAGCGCCCCGCAGCGCCAGAGCTGCGCTTTTGGTTCCTGCGCGGGACCCATTTCCGAAACTCTGCACCACAGAAAGGGAACCAACCAGGCGATGGCAGAACATTGTGGGGCTGGGGAGGCGTTGATCGGACGGCCGAGCATGAACTTGTGGGCCCACACGAATCATGCCCATCATGAGCACACTTCACTCCAGTCACCCTCGGCACTTGCACTTTAGATGAATGAATCACTATTCACCTGCAAAGTTACAGAAACGCATTGACAACATTCAAGCATCCATGAGTGTGAGTGTTGCAAAATATTGCTGGCACACCGAGGACATCACTGAGGCATTTCTTCCTAAACACCCCTCTTCACCGCTTTCTAGCACCTGCAAGCTCAATCCACATCAGTCAGCGCCGCCAGTCGTACCAAGAACACGGTCATCCAAGCCAGCGGATAGTTCTAATTTAGCGGTCGTCGAAAGTTTCCATGAACTTAAAAGCCCGTGGAGACAAGCGTAAACGTACATGGTGCGATGTTATGATATGATTAAGTGGTAGATAACAGGCCGATGGACGATAGAGTGGAAGGTGATAGGCCGGTGGGGTCTCGAGTCCAGACCGCGGTTCAAAGTGGTGCTGAGGGACGCATCGAGGGGGCGCTACCGAATGGTAGGGAGGCGCAGGGCGTAGTCGAGGGGCGGAGATTAGCGGACGGGGAAGTGGTTGCGGAACAGAGCCGGCGAGGTACAGTGGCGGAGGGTTTGGCGGAGCGGATCCGCGAGCTGGTGGATGCGGCGGACATGAGCGCAGCGAGGGAGGCGCAGGGGGAGAGGTGAGGCGCGGGAAGCGCACAAGGAGAGGCGGGGTGACGCGAGGGGAGAGGTGAGGCGCGGGAATCGCACATGGAGAGATGTTGTGAAGCGAGGGGAGAGGTGAGGCGCGGCACAGGAAAAGGCAGGCGTTATATAAGGTTTGGCGCCTACTGTGTCGTCCCCGTATGCCCACTCTGCCCTCCCTTTCCCACCTCGCCGTCACCCTCCCTCCTCACAACCTCACCTCACCCTCTTCCCTCCTCCCCACACCTAGTCTAGGTGCGCTTCTGGCGTACTTCAACGCCTTCTCATGCCCTCCTTCTCACCCCGCTGGTTCCCAGTCTGGGTGCACTGCAGGACACAGCCGCCGTGCTGGCGCACGTCAATGCCTTCTCATCCCCTCTCTCCCCGTCTTCAAGCCTCATTGTCACTCCCCCATGTAACCCAGTCTAGGCGCACTGCACGACACAGCAGCTGTCCTGGCGCTTTTAACGCCTTCCCGTGTCCCTCTCACCCTTCTCTCTCCTCTCTCCGTGTCACCCCTCATATAACCCCAGTTTAGGCGCACTTCAGGATACGGCAGCCATCCTGGCGCAATTCAACGCCTTCTTGTGACCCTCTCACACTTCTCTCCCCTCTCTCCGTGTCACCCCTCATATATCCCCAGTCTAGGCGCACTGCAGGACACAGCAGCCATCCTGGCGCACTTCAACGCCTTCTCGCTCAAGGCGCTGGCCTCTGAGGGCCCCGCCATGCGCGTCCACACTGCCACACTGCATGCGCTGCAGACTGACCTCCTAAAAACGTTCAGAAAGATCAGGTGTGGGGGATTTGGGGGGAGAGGGAGGGACGTGTGTGGTTTACTGGCCTTTGTGGGCCCCGCAATGCGCACGCACACCGCTGAGCTGCACGCTCTGCAGACCGACCTCCAGCGCACGTTCAGGAAGATCAGGTGCAGAGTGGGGCTGGCGGGGGTTGGGATGGGAGAACGAATGGGGGGGGGGAAGGTGCTGACCTGTGATGGGTGGGGAAGGGGGGAGGGAGGGGGGATTGTGCGTGGGGGGTTGTAAGCAGATGACTATATGGGGGATGCTTGAACTGCCTTCGCCATCAGTTTGATGTACCATCCTCTCTGCTATAGGACCATGCTCGGGGATGTACTTGATGCCTTGATGTCGCTGCAAGTCGGTGCATTCATACTTGTGCGACGCATGCGTGTGGATGGATGGACGTGTGTGAGTGCAGGGAAATGAAGGAGAAGCTGAAAAAGGCGTTCCCAAATGCTTTTGAGGTCAGTGTGGTTTCGTTTCTATGGTGCTGCAATCCCATCTTCATTCCATCTTCTCCAACCTGCACTTTTGTTCTCCAACCGGTTTCTTGCTTTTGTCCTCCAGTCATCATCCACTCTTTCTGTTACACCACAACACCACCATGCTTCTCATTGCTGACAGGAAGCTAGTCTGATCGTTTCAGAGTCAGGCTTGCATGTGGATGAGGACGACTGAAGGGAAGCTCTGAGGGGACCTACATCTCTGCAGTGTAAATAGATAAAGCGAGTCAAGTGTCTATTGTCTAGTATACAAACGTACTGTCGGCTTGTATGTGGCAGCACCATTCTCCACACAACCCTAGACCTATAAATAAATAGCTGGTGGCTTATATGGAGTACTACCGTTCCTCTCAGCGCCTGACTATCCTCCACACTAGTCCGATCACACAGGCCAGCAGCGCTGCAGGCACTGTCCTCTTCGAGCCTGCTTGTCTCAGCACAGCGTCGGCAGCGCTCTTGGTGGCGAGAGTGAGGCAGGGGATGGCCGTGCATGCGAGCACAATGTCTCGAGTGAAGCACCCCACTGCGTCCGGGAAGAAGAGGAAGATGAGCTCCTCAAACTCCCCCTGGCTGAATGTGCCTGCCTGTGAACACTCAAACGCCTAATGTGGGGTAGTGCGGTGAGGCAGGCAAGCAGGGAGGGAGGGGCGGGGGAAGAGGGGGAACAATGAACAGTGGGATGTTTGGTGTTTAGAGGCTGGCAGGGGAGAGTTGGAAGGACGGGAGAAGGGAAGGAAGAAAGACTGAGCGATGAGAAGACCGCAGGGGAAGAAAGGTCAGGCGATGCAAGGTGGGCGGATCATTGTGAGGGGGAGTGGGAAAGGGGAATGGGGAATGGGGAATGGGGAATGGGGAAATGGGGAATGGGGAATGTGGAAAGGGGAATTGGGAATGGGGAATGGGGAATGGGGAATGGGGAATGGGGAATGGGGAATGGGTTCTCCATTTTATGGGGTTTCCCCGCATTCTCCAGCACACCCACCTGCACTCTCTCCTTGACTTCTCGTCTCGATGGCGGGTCGAAGAAGGCGCCAGGGGATCTTCGGTTTAGCTCACTGCTTGACGAGGGTGTGAGAGCAATAGAGCAGCGAGTGAGTGGGAGGGAGAAGGCGAAAAGAGGTGAATGAGTGGAAGGGGAGGGACAAAAGTGCGGGAGGTGCTCGTATTGCCCGACGCCCCCCCATTCCCACCCACCCCATTCCCTTCCCATTCCATTCCCGTTTGATCCCTTAGAGACGTAGAAGGGCCATTAGCTACTCGAACAGTCTACTGACTTGAACACGAGCAACACGCCCTCATAGACGGCCGAGGATGGTAATCGCCTATCCCTCAACTCCACTCCGTTCTCGTCTTGAGAAGATCCAGCACTGCCGTCTGCTTCTGCTCCATCAACGTCAGTAAGTTGACGGTAGGCTGTCAGGATGCATTGACGGACTACGGGCTTGCTGATGACGTGGCCTGCCCCTGCACCCAACGCCGTCATCAAAACTGGAGTGATACGTGTGAGGGAGGGATTGGGCAATAGCCGTAACGGAGAACGGATCGTGACACGTGTATCGAGGCGTCCATAATGCACGGATACGATCCAAAGCTGTCAACGCGCATAGTGTATGGAGCATTTGAGGAATGTCGACGACGCGCCGAGATGCCTTGAAATGCGAATCCATTGCGGGTTTGATAGCATTGCGGACCAATGACCGGACATTACGAAGCCATTGCGAGTGGTGTGTTGATCGGAATGAAGGCTGATTTGAATGCAGGCTGATTTGAATGCAGGCTGATTTGAATGCAGGCTGATCAGAATGGGGGACATTGAAGATGGAAGCTGTGCTGATGTGGAATCAAGGTTGGGAAAAATAGTTTAGATATAGACTGGAAATGCGATACTCACTCACAACTCCCATAACGACAGCGCTTTCGGCCTGCGAGTTGGTAGGAGCTACCTCGAATGGCCTCAAATGCTTCAGCGGATGCTTCGGAAAATGCTTCAGCGAGTGTCACACGACGGCAGAGTAATTACTAATGCGCAGGAAACGCATCCTGGACACCATGTGTCATCAGTCTGCAAAGGGGTTCTGGAGCATTTGCTGTGAATCAGCCATGGATGGAGATATTTGCGTGGAATCTGAGAGAAGGGAATCAGGGAATGTCGCTGCAATTCAAATCAGAATTTGCAGACAGGGATCAGATTCATCCGATAGTGTACTGCAAGAAATTCAAAATCTGTTTAAAAATGGATTCAAAATCACAAATTCTGCCCGCGAAAGCTGACCGCCCCCACAACAACAGCAAAAGGGCAAAACCCAATCCTAAGGCGGCCTCTTTAGCACTAGGTAGTATACTGCTGTTCCTAAAACGGAACTCCTCGCGCAACGAGAACATAAGGTGATAGCCGCTGCTTCAGCAAAGAGCTTCCGTCATTCGCGCATTGCCTCGTTGGCGCCGCGATGGCCGTCGAGGCGGACGCGAGGGATCCGTCGAGTAACCTGCCGCGAGAGGACGAGGCGGAGGACGAGGGTAGCTTTTTCGAGGCGTCGTTATTCGTCGACACAAGGTGAACAAAAGAGGAGAATGACTATAGATCACGGAGCAAATCGCTATAGATCACGAGCAGCAAGTCGCTATGAATCTTGATCGCGCCGGCTCTAGACTCCCCGGTTCTGAGGCTACCGTTTTAGACTCCACCTTCCGTTCATTCACGCACCGTCGTCACAAAACCACAATGGTAAACAATCAAGGGCAGGCTAGTTGGTTCCATGTCTTCGCACACCCGTCTGGTACTCATCGTTCCGAGGCTGCCATTCTGTAACTCAACCTTTTCCGTCCATCTCCCCTCCGTTTCCGTTCCCCCGCCTCCCGTGCTCCCCCCTCTGTCCGGCAGCTACGTCCTCCACTCGTTCTCGTTCAATGACATCCACGTGCCTCTTTACTGCCTTGCTGCCGCCACCAGTTAAGCTCGCCTCCCTTCTCAATGCCATCAGCTGAGCGTCTCAACCATCCCTTCTTTCCTTCGTCCCTTCTTCCCCCGCCTTTTCCCCCGCCTTTTCCCCCGCCTTTTCCCCCGCCTTTTCCCCCGCCTTTTCCCCCCTTTCCATTGCTCGCCTCCCTTCTCAACGCCACCAGCTGACGTTGCTCTTGCGCTTTCGCTCTCTTTTTCCACCCCATCACTCTTCTGCCTGCTGCCTTTTTGCCAATACCCCTTCCTTCCTTCCCCCCCCTCTCTTGCGCACGCATTCATGATTCACCCTCACTCTGTCTGTGCACCTTATCCCCATGTCCCTCTCTTCCCCCCCCCCCCCCCCCCTTTCCGGCTGCAGCGCATCGACTTGACGGGGCAGAAACTGTGGCCGGGACGTGCCAACCATCCTCGCAGAGTATCTCACAGCCCACCCAGACGTGGTTCCGGGCAAGACTGTGATGGAGATGGGCGCGGGCACGGGGCTGGCGGGACTCATGTGCGCCTCTACTCATCCCCCGACCCCCCCCCCTCGCCCTCCCCTGCGGAAACACCCCCCCCCTCTCTCCCGCCTGCAGCGGATTACGACCTGACAGGGCAGATAGTGTGGCCTGGAGCAACCATCCTCGCAGAATATCTCACAGCGCGCCCAGACGTGGTGGCTGGCAAGACTGTGATAGAGGTGGGCGCCGGCACGGGCCTGGCAGGGCTCATGTGCGCGCACCTGGGGAGCAGAGCGGTGACGCTGACGGACCACAACAGCGAGGTGCTGCAGGTGGTGCAGCGCAACGCCGACCACCACACGCAGCTCTTCGCACACAGGTCGTTGTTCTCCCTTCTACTTCCTCTGCCCTGCTGTAGTCCCCCCCTTCCCCCCTTCCCCCCTTCCCCCCCCTTCCCCCCCTTTCCCCCTTTCCCCCCCTTTCCCCCGTCCCACCCGGCTCTACACCAATTCCCCCTGACTCCAACCAGCCCCATTCCGTATCCCTTGCTCCTTCCCCACCTCAGCGTCCTTGGCCGCACTATCCCAATCCCGTTTGGGAGCACAGCGAGTTTGAGCCTCTGGCCTGATTTGGATTCATCCCCATACGCCCTGTGCAGTTCAGGCTGTGAACCCCAGGCTGCCCCCTCCCTGGAGTGCGCTGAGCTGGAGTGGGCCTCCCAGAAGCACCTGGAAGCCATTCTCGCCGCCCATCCCACTGGATTCGACATTGTCATTGGTGCTGACATATGTACGTCCTCACCCACATATGTACGCACATTTGTAGTTTCTCTTCCCTCAATCCCCCTCACTTTTCCTCAATACTCCTCATTCCCCGTCCACCTCTTCCTCCCCCCCCCCCCCCCCCATCTCATCAGGCTACCAGCAGTACCATGTGCCGCCTCTCTTCGCGTGCATCAAGTCCTATTGTTCCTCTCGTTCTTCCCTCGCCCCCCCACCCCCAATCCCCCATCCCATCAGGCTACCAGCAGTGCCATGTGCCGCCTCTCTTCACATGCATCAAGTCGCTCCTGTCAGCCCGCCAGCATGCCATATCAGCTGGAAGTCTACCCCCCTCACAACCCAACACGATTAGCGATCCCCGCCCTTCTCTTGAGCCGGTTCTCAATGCGGCACAGGAGTCCTTTGCCTCTGATGGCTTGCAGAATCAGACCAGCCTGCCTCCCAGCTGTTTCATTCTTGCCTACGTGGAGAGGCATCTCAGGTGATTTCAGAGTGGCATTACCCAGGTCTTAATCTGGTGATTGTTCAGGTCTTTACCACGTTGTCAGCATTTCCGTCTTATGTTTCCACCTCTCTTGCATCACCCTCATTTGGTCCCAATCTTCATTCGATTCTTTATATATATATATATATATATATATATATATATATATTTGTTGTCCCTCCCACACTGAATTCCCATTTGCAGCACAACAAGGGTGGTTTGGGAAGCTGCAAGAGCCCGTGGGTTGCATTTGGAGGTTATTGAAGGAACAGAAAGGATGGCACCAGATGGATTTCACCATGCTAGGATATATAAGGCAACCTTAGCTTCACAGTGTTGATTTATTTTGTTCAATCTTCGCACGCTTCGCTACTACGCGGAATGCGTGGTATCAATGTCGCGTACAGCTTCTGGCAGGCGCGAATTCTTCCCCATCCTCACAGATTTGAGTTTTGTCTTGCTAGTGCGCAATACCCGTGCAACTGGCATTTTTAACCTAGGTGTCTAGATCTACTGGTAGTGACTATTGCACACGCATGTGGTCTTGGCATATTTCAAATAGTGACAGTCTTTTAGATTGTAAGGGTCGGCTTTAGGCTGTAAGTCGTCTTCTTGTCAGGGTTGCCGACCGCTCGTTTCACTATCTTTTATGGCCGCCTGTCGCTCGTCAGGGTTCCCACGAGCGTCGGTGGCGCTTCATCCTCAATCAAGCATGAGGCGCACGAGCGCAGGTCAACCACTTGGCCAGGGCGTTTGAGAGCGTTTCCGCCACGCGATGAGCTTCTGCCATCGAAAGCTATTTCGAGCTGCCCCCTCCGCTGCCCCCTCCGCTGCTCCCTCTGCTGCCCCTTCCGCCCTCTCTACCCGCACCGCTGCCCGCTTCCGCCTTCACGTTCCGCGGAATACGGCGCTCCGCGGATAGTATCCGCGAGCAGCCGGGGCAACGGGGGAGAGCTGCTGGGAAATGGGGAGCTGGAGGGCGGAGCAACTGCGCCAGACGCGCAAGGGAGGGGGGGCGGCGAGGGGGGCGAGGTGGAATGTGGGGAAGGTGATCGCTGGGCTGCTGCTGTATGTGGTGGTGGTGACGGCTGCAATGGCGCTGGCGGAACCTAGAACGTTCACATGGTGCGCAATGGCTGGTTGGTGCGGTGGTGGTGGCGCGATGGTTGGTGCGCTGATGTGATGGTTGGTGTGCTGATGGTTTTGACATGCCTTCTGCATGCACGTGAGCATGCCTTCTTCGTGCACTTCACCTGTCGTGCTTCCCTTCCCCCCTCCCCTTCTTTCCAACCCCCCACGGCCCCAGGTTTCCCCCCCGGCACTACGCGCCTGCCCTGGGGGTGATCATGCTCTCCATAGGCATGCAGCTCACGCCTGTTGACTTCCTTGCTGCTCTCCATAGGCGTGCAGCTCACACCTGCTGACTTCCTTGCTGCTCTCCATCGGCACACAGCTCACGCCTGCTGACTTCCTTGCTGCTCTCCATCGGCGCGCAGCTCATGCCTGCTGACTTCCTCGCTGCTCTCCATCGGCGTGCAGCTCACGCCTGCTGACTTCCTTGCTGCTCTCCATCGGCGCGCAGCTAACGCCTACTGACTTCCTTGCTGCTCTCCATCGGCGTGCAGCTCACGCCTGCTGACTTCCTTGCTGCTCTCCATCGGCGCGCAGCTCACGCCTGCTGACTTCCTTGCTGCTCTCCATCGGTGTGCAGCTCACGCCTGCTGACTTGCTTGCTGCTCACCATCGGCGCGCAGCTCATGCCTGCTGACTTCCTTGCTGCTCTCCATCCGCGCGCAGATCACGCTTGCTGACTTCCTTGCTGCTCTCCATCGGCGCGCAGATCATGCCTGCTGACTTCCTTGCTGCTCTCCATCGGCGCGCAGCTCACGCCTGCTGACTTCCTTGCTGCTCTCCATCGGCGCGCAGCTCATGCCTGCTGACTTCCTTGCTGCTCTCCATCGGCGCGCAGCTCACGCCAGCTGACTTCCTTGCTGCTCTCCATCGGCGCGCAGCTCACGCCTGCTGACTTCCTTGCTGCTCTCCATTGGCGCGGAGCTCACGCCTGCTGACTTCCTTGCTGCTCTCCATCGGCGCGCAGCTCATGCCTGCTGACTTCCTTGCTGCTCTCCATCGGCGCGCAGCTCACGCCTGCTGACTTCCTTGCTGCTCTCCATTGGCGCGCAGCTCATGCCTGCTGACTTCCTTGCTGCTCTCCATCGGCGTGCAGCTCACGCCTGCTGACTTCCTTGCTGCTCTCCATCGGCGCGCAGCTCACGCTTGCTGACTTCCTTGCTGCTCTCCATCGGCGCGCAGATCATGCCTGCTGACTTCCTTGCTGCTCTCCATCGGCGCGCAGCTCACGCCTGCTGACTTCATTGCTGCTCTCCATCGGCGCGCAGCTCACGCCAGCTGACTTCCTTGCTGCTCTCCATCGGCGCGCAGCTCACGCCTGCTGACTTCCTTGCTGCTCTCCATCGGCGCGCAGCTCACGCCTGCTGACTTCCTTGCTGCTCTCCATCGGCGCGCAGCTCACGCTTGCTGACTTCCTTGCTGCTCTCCATCGGCGCGCAGCTCATGCCTGCTGACTTCCTTGCTGCTCTCCATCGGCGCGCAGATCACGCTTGCTGACTTCCTTGCTGCTCTCCATCGGCGCGCAGATCATGCCTGCTGACTTCCTTGCTGCTCTCCATCGGCGCGCACCTCACGCCTGCTGACTTCCTTGCTGCTCTCCATCGGCGCGCAGCTCACGCCTGCTGACTTCCTTGCTGCTCTCCATCGGTGTGCAGCTCACGCCTGCTGACTTGCTTGCTGCTCACCATCGGCGCGCAGCTCATGCCTGCTGACTTCCTTGCTGCTCTCCATCCGCGCGCAGATCACGCTTGCTGACTTCCTTGCTGCTCTCCATCGGCGCGCAGATCATGCCTGCTGACTTCCTTGCTGCTCTCCATCGGCGCGCAGCTCACGCCTGCTGACTTCCTTGCTGCTCTCCATCGGCGCGCAGCTCATGCCTGCTGACTTCCTTGCTGCTCTCCATCGGCGCGCAGCTCACGCCAGCTGACTTCCTTGCTGCTCTCCATCGGCGCGCAGCTCACGCCTGCTGACTTCCTTGCTGCTCTCCATTGGCGCGGAGCTCACGCCTGCTGACTTCCTTGCTGCTCTCCATCGGCGCGCAGCTCATGCCTGCTGACTTCCTTGCTGCTCTCCATCGGCGCGCAGCTCACGCCTGCTGACTTCCTTGCTGCTCTCCATTGGCGCGCAGCTCATGCCTGCTGACCTGCTGCCTATCGCTGCTCCGCTCTGACTTCTTGTGCTCTCCATCGGCGTGCAGCTCACGCCTGCTGACTTCCTTGCTGCTCTCCATCGGCGCGCAGCTCACGCTTGCTGACTTCCTTGCTGCTCTCCATCGGCGCGCAGCTCATGCCTGCTGACTTCCTTGCTGCTCTCCATCGGCGCGCAGCTCACGCCTGCTGACTTCCTTGCTGCTCTCCATCGGCGCGCAGCTCACGCCCTGACCCCCCTCCATCGCCGCAGCCACCCGCTGACTTCCTTGCTGCTCTCCATCGGCGCGCAGCTCACGCCTGCTGACTTCCTTGCTGCTCTCCATCGGCGCGCAGCTCACGCCTGCTGACTTCCTTGCTGCTCTCCATCGGCGCGCAGCTCACTGCTTGCTGACTTCCTTGCTGCTCTCCATCGGCGCGCAGCTCATGCCTGCTGACTTCCTTGCTGCTCTCCATCGGCGCGCAGATCACGCTTGCTGACTTCCTTGCTGCTCTCCATCGGCGCGCAGATCATGCCTGCTGACTTCCTTGCTGCTCTCCATCGGCGCGCACCTCACGCCTGCTGACTTCCTTGCTGCTCTCCATCGGCGCGCAGCTCATGCCTGCTGACTTCCTTGCTGCTCTCCATCGGCGCGCAGCTCACGCCTGCTGACTTCCTTGCTGCTCTCCATCGGCGCGCAGCTCACGCCTGCTGACTTCCTTGCTGCTCTCCATCGGCGCGCAGCTCACGCCTGCTGACTTCCTTGCTGCTCTCCATTGGCGCGCAGCTCATGCCTGCTGACTTCCTTGCTGCTCTCCATCGGCGTGCAGCTCACGCCTGCTGACTTCCTTGCTGCTCTCCATCGGCGCGCAGCTCATGCCTGCTGACTTCCTTGCTGCTCTCCATCGGCGCGCAGCTCACGCCTGCTGACTTCCTTGCTGCTCTCCATCGGCGCGCAGCTCACGCCTGCTGACTTCCTTGCTGCTCTCCATCGGCGCGCAGATCATGCCTGCTGACTTCCTTGCTGCTCTCCATCGGCCTGCAGCTCACGCCTGCTGACTTCCTTGCTGCTCTCCATCGGAGCGCAGCTCACGCCTGCTGACTTCCTTGCTGCTCTCCATCGACGCGCAGCTCATGCCTGCTGACTTCCTTGCTGCTCTCCATCGGCGCGCAGCTCACGCCTGCTGACTTCCTTGCTGCTCTCCATCGGCGCGCAGCTCATGCCTGCTGACTTCCTTGCTGCTCTCCATCGGCGCGCAGCTCACGCCTGCTGACTTCCTTGCTGCTCTCCATCGGCGCGCAGCTCACGCCTGCTGACTTCCTTGCTGCTCTCCATCGGCGCGCAGCTCACGCCTGCTGACTTCCTTGCTGCTCTCCATCGGCGCGCAGATCATGCCTGCTGACTTCCTTGCTGCTCTCCATCGGCGCGCAGCTCACGCCAGCTGACTTCCTTGCTGCTCTCCATCGGCGCGCAGCTCACGCCTGCTGACTTCCTTGCTGCTCTCCATTGGCGCGGAGCTCACGCCTGCTGACTTCCTTGCTGCTCTCCATCGGCGCGCAGCTCATGCCTGCTGACTTCCTTGCTGCTCTCCATCGGCGCGCAGCTCACGCCTGCTGACTTCCTTGCTGCTCTCCATTGGCGCGCAGCTCATGCCTGCTGACTTCCTTGCTGCTCTCCATCGGCGTGCAGCTCACGCCTGCTGACTTCCTTGCTGCTCTCCATCGGCGCGCAGCTCACGCTTGCTGACTTCCTTGCTGCTCTCCATCGGCGCGCAGATCATGCCTGCTGACTTCCTTGCTGCTCTCCATCGGCGCGCAGCTCACGCCTGCTGACTTCATTGCTGCTCTCCATCGGCGCGCAGCTCACGCCAGCTGACTTCCTTGCTGCTCTCCATCGGCGCGCAGCTCACGCCTGCTGACTTCCTTGCTGCTCTCCATCGGCGCGCAGCTCACGCCTGCTGACTTCCTTGCTGCTCTCCATCGGCGCGCAGCTCACGCTTGCTGACTTCCTTGCTGCTCTCCATCGGCGCGCAGCTCATGCCTGCTGACTTCCTTGCTGCTCTCCATCGGCGCGCAGATCACGCTTGCTGACTTCCTTGCTGCTCTCCATCGGCGCGCAGATCATGCCTGCTGACTTCCTTGCTGCTCTCCATCGGCGCGCACCTCACGCCTGCTGACTTCCTTGCTGCTCTCCATCGGCGCGCAGCTCTTTGCTGACTTCCTTGCTGCTTCCATCAGCGTGCAGCTCCGCCTGCTGACTTCCTTGCTGCTCTCCAACGGCGCGCAGCTCACGCCTGCTGACTTCCTTG